AATTTAACTTGTGCACCACAATCAGAAGAAAAGGTAACCTGCATTAATATTGATATACTGCATGGGGTCACTGCCTCTGTATGCTTTAATAAAGTTAATGGATTCATACCCATAAAAGTACAGAGATCTTTATACATTGTGCACAGTACAAGATTGGACCCGAATAAAGCAATGATTTTGAGAAAACACAAAGACAGCAAAGGGTATTGGCATGTAAATAGTTCTGCACCATCCTGACTAAGAAATAGTCAAATTTGCCTAATAAAAAGTTTTTATTCTGTAGATCTTAATAAAGGATACTTTTACCTGGAATCAATCAGTTCTCATTTCCCCGAATTAAATTCATTGGAACATTCATTTAAAATAAATGCTAATTAACATGAATACTCTCTTGAGCTGATTGCACATGTATCCAAACTGCTTCCATTCTCTAATAATATCTATGAAATTATTGAAGATTTTTGAAGGCACAATTTACAGTATTTCTATCAGGAAACAATTTGAGGGATCTCCTAATGCTCCAATTTGCAGTCAGGACTGTTTAAATACTCTTAATATGTGCAATTGATTGTAGAAACAAAACTAACGTTACTTGACTCTGTCAAACAACCCATTTTATTCTAAGTTGTAGAAACATTAAAGTGTAGAGAAATTCCTGTATTGTTAAATTGAATCCAGTGAAGACAGCTTTCTTTTAAAATGAGAAACACATTGCAGCTGTAATAGTTGAAATATAACCCTCCAGGCTGGGAAAAATAATCCTCTTCTCAAAAAGAATTTCTTGGATCTTGTCAAAGCCAGGATTCATTTATGGTCAAAGAAACAAAGGTTTCAGTGGCTCCTCTTGATGGTTCAGCCCAGTATAGCAGTTAGAAGCTGAGTGCACCAACAACGGATGTTCTCATTACACTTGTCTACAACATTAGCTAATCTCAGAGCATTGGATCTGAATGGCTATAAGAGTTTTTAATATTTTGATGTAGGGGCAGAAATGACAGGTTCTCACTATTGAACACCATCCAACAACTTCTGCTGGAAAGCAATGGCGTGTTAATGTCACATGAAGTGAAGCAAACTCCAGAGTGAGTTTGCTGTGATGCCCTTCACAGTTAAATAGCCATCAAACAAACCACTGTAGCCATTCTGCAACAAACACAGACAAAACTTTGAAATTGTCATACTAAACACAAGAACAGAGAAAAAAAATATTCTTTTTAAAAATCCATTCAGCTCAAAACTGTCTAATCATGAGACAATCACTTGGAAATGAGATAAAGTAACCATTTCTATCAGCACAAATTTTCTTCAGAAAAGGAGGACGAAGCAATTAAGAAGACTTTAGTGTAGGGAATGCTGTATGATTATTCTCATCAGTCAAGTAAATATAATTTATTATCCTTTTATTGTTTGCTAGTAGTATTGTCTATTTACAGAATGGTAAGAACGTTAGAATAATACAACAGAAAGAACAAAAACAGAAAGTTGCTGGAAAAGCCCAGCAGGTCTGGCAGCAGCTGTGAAGAAAAAATCAGAGTTAACGTCTCGGGTCCGGTGACTCTTCCTCAGAATTGGAGAAAGGCAAGGGCTGATTATGTGCAGATATATCAGACTGAATTTATATGCTGAATCTAATCTGATAACCCTGTGTTTGACACTATTCATTTGGCATAAGCTTTTACAATAAAAACAGTTGAAAGTAAAACAAATTGGATTTACAATTTAGAATTTGTTTCCTACATTACAACAGTAATTACATTTCTAAAGTATTGCCTGTAAATTTCACTGACAAGTAAAATCAGGCAGGATTTAAAACCAGTGCTGCTTTTAATCCTATTTGTTATCTATCTGCTGGATTTGGTTACAATTCCTCCCTAAGTGTCTGATCAGACCTCACAAAAAACAGTACAAACTAACCTCATCCCAGATGTTACAGTGCAAAGCAAGAAGACGAGGGCAAGTCATACAAATTATCATGGCCAACAATCTGTGCTACTGCATTCATCTATATCCTCTTAGTCCCATCTTCCTTATAGATGGGCCACAGGCAAGAGTCAGAGTAGATGCATGATAGTTTTATACATGGAACTGTGGAAGACTAGAACCTGGGCAAATTCTTCTGGCAGATAATTATTCAATGGTTTTTACTTAGGTTATTAACTCAGCCTTTCAATAATCCAAAAATACACAGCGGAATGTATTACTAAATAGGGACACAATGTTAAAACAGGAAGGTATCATGAACATTTTAGTATGATCTAACAAGTTTTACCCTAGACTGATTGGTTGACAAATAATTGATTATCAATGTGAACCATTCAGTGTTGAGACTTGATGGAAGTTTCTTTAAGGGGTCATCCAAAAGGTTGGTCATAAATAGACATAGGAGAATTAAATTGACATAAAGCTTTAGGGAAGATGGCAGGTTGGTGAATTCAAAGGTGAAGGAATGAAAACTGAAATAACCAAACGTTAAGAATCATTTAGTGCAAAGCTGAGAGCATAAACCAGGGAGAACATCTGTGATGGGGACAGGGAGTAGACAATAAGGATGTTAAAGAGCTGTCATGAGTTTTATAAACTTTACATGTTGAATGATTCAATGAAAGAATGGAGGGAGTTGATAATAGTACTCTAAATTCTGTTATTTTTCCGAATGGTAGTATCATAGAACTGATTCTGCTAGCTGCTTTTAAGAAGCAGACCTAACAGTGTCAATACTTATAGCTGGCTCAGACGTAGATCTCCCAGAATCTGAAATGAAATAGTGCCAATATAGCTTCTAATGTGAAGATTCCTGTGTTCCATATCAGGTTATGATAACTTAGTCAGAAACATATAAATGCATGAAGTTCATTATAACTTCAAAGTAGACTTTAAAAAGCATTCCTGGTATACTCCTCAAAAAGAAAGTCAATTTAAGGGTTTGAGGAGAGGTTTGACATTTGGCAGGAGTGGAGGTGGGAGTGGTGGAGGAAAGAAAGGAGACAAAAGGAGCAGGGGGCGTGGCATGGAGTCTGTAATGAGGGTGGGAATGACAGGAGGGTTAAAGAGTGACAGGATGAGGTGGGATAGTGAGGGAGACTGGGGTAGGAGAGAAGGAGGTTGCAAAGGGATAGAGGAAGAAAGAGGGAGGCTGCAAAGAAGTAGAGGAGAGGGATGAAAGAGAGAGAGGTTGCATGGGTAGGAGGGAAGCAGATGGAAATTGCAAAGAAAGGAGTTTTAAACCAGTTAACTGGAAGCCAGGAAAATTTGAAATCACTCAGGTAATGAATTACCTACACTTGGCAAATACTTGGCAAAAGTAATATAACGTGGATAAGTGTGAGGTTATCCGCTTGGTCGCAAAAACAGGAAGGCAGATTATTATCTGAATGGTGGCAGTTTAGGAGAAGGTGACGTGCAATGAGACCTGGGTGTCATGGTGGAGCAGTTGTTGAAAGTTGGCATTCAGGTGCAGCAGGCAGTGAGGAAAGTTAATGACATGCTAGCCTTCATAGTGAGAGGATTTGAATGTCCAAGTAAGGACATCTTGCTGCAGTTATACACGTCCTCGGTGAGGCCCGTTGTGAGCAGTTTTGGTCTCCTGGTCTGAGGAAGGACATTCTTGCTATTGAGGGAGTCCAGTGAAGGTTCACCAGACTGATTCCCGGGATGGCAAGACTGACATATGAGGAAAGATTGGATCGACTGGGCTTGTATTTGCTGAAATTTAGAAGAATGAAGGCGGAATCTCATAGAGACATATAAAATTCTGATGGGATTGGACAGGCTAGATGCAGGAAGAATGTTCCTGATGTTGGGGAAGTTCAGAACTAAGCGTCACAGCCTAAGAATAAGAGCTAAGCCATTCAGGGCTGAGATGAGGAAGGATTTCTTCACTCAGAGTTGTGAACCTGTGGAATTGTCTCCCACAGGAAGCTGTTGGGGACAGTTCATTAGATATATTCAAGAGGGAGCTGGATGTGGCCCTTGTGGATAAAGGGATCGAGGGGTATGGGGAGAGGGTGGGAGCGGGATACTGAGATTGCATGATCAGCCATGAATGGTCGTGCAGGCTCGGAGGGCCGAATGGCCTATTCGTGCACCTATTTCCTATGTTTGCACGTGAATGTAGAACCTCTATAATGAAGCTGCATATCCTCAAGGGTTGCTATATGGGAAAAACGTGCAGTGGATGCTGTTCTAAATGAATACTGTGTCAATTGCCAAGTTTAAATCTGAGATTGAGATCTGAGATGCAATAAAAAAGGATAACAACTGCTTGGTTAAAGTATTTCAGCTTTGTGAATGTGCAATGGGAAGGTAACAGCTGTGACCTCACAGATAATGAAAAGTATGTTTAAGGTAATTGCTTTTTGTATGGAGAAGTATTAGTTTTGTTGAGAAGCAACTTTTGTTGCTAACTTATGCCTGAGCTAATTTAAATACTGCTATTGAGGAAACCAAGGATTTTCTTAAGTGCTGTGGCTTTAAATTTAATGCACCCTTGATATTGATTTGGTTCTTCTAATTTAGCTTTTATGTGACTAAATAGCCCATACATCAATGCAAATACAGAAGATAATATTACTATGTGATTAATAAATAAAATACTAGGAGTGAAAAAGCAGTCCTTGAAAACCAAAACGTACCCAATGAAAATCAAAAAGTAGACTCCTTGAAAAATTACTTTGCACCCTGCTAGTCAGGAGAGCATTAAAAATGTGATCTTTGGTGTCAGTTTACATAGGGATTTGCTTTTATAAATATGGACTCACAGTATAATGACAAGGCATGATCAAATGTGTAACAAGCTGAAGTAAAGTTTTGCAGGACTTGTATAACATTCGTAATAGGTTGTACAGATGGGTACAAATAATTGTTTTGATTTTTTTTAAACTGATGTACATTTATTCAACCAATTTCCAAACATTCAATGACATCAGAAGTTTCAAATATTTTCTTAACTATTAAAATCAGAGGCAAATACTTTACACTTCAATTTTTTTTTTTGTTCATAGAAATGATACCAACATTTCCAAGTGCAATGAAAGGTGAAAAGGGTCCATCAGGAGAGCCTGGTGCAAGAGGACCAATTGGACCACCTGGCCTGCCAGGAATACCAGGTCGTGATCTTCAAGGACCAGTCGGAAAACCAGGTCTGCCAGGTCAACCAGGCTTTCCAAGTGTTGGGAAGCCTGGAATGCCAGGAATGCCAGGTAAACCAGGAGAGATGGGATTGCCAGGTCGCAAAGGTGACATGGGACCAAAAGGAGAACAAGGGCCAATGGGACCACCAGGACCACAAGGACTACCAGGTCCTTCTGGAATGCCTGGACTGGGGAAGCCAGGTAGACCAGGATTGCCAGGAAAACAAGGGCCAAGAGGAGAGCCAGGACAGAAAGGAATGCCAGGATTGCCAGGTCCTGTAGGGCCAAAGGGAATGCCAGGAATAGGTGTAGCTGGATTGCCAGGCTTAAGGGGGCCACAAGGGCCACCTGGGCAACCAGGCCCTGCAGGTCTACCAGGCATCTCAAAACCCGGCTTAAATGGTCTTCCAGGAGCTCCAGGAGCCCCAGGCAAACAAGGATTCCCAGGTGAACCAGGATTGCAAGGTTTTCCAGGGCCCCGCGGTGTCCAAGGACCTCCAGGGATGCCAGGTATTGGAAAGCCAGGTCTAGGTGGACTTCCTGGTCAACCTGGCTTTCCAGGGGCGAAAGGTGAAAAAGGACTACCTGGTTTACAAGGGGCCCCAGGAATGCCAGGAGTAGGAAAACCAGGGTTTCCAGGGCCAAAAGGTGAACGTGGTCAGGCTGGGCCTCCGGGGATGCAGGGATTTAAAGGTGAGCCTGGGGTTGCTGGTGCTCCTGGAATTCCTGGTCCTCCAGGTGCAAGAGGACTGCCAGGGCCTCAGGGTCAAATCGGGCCTGTGGGTGGCTTAGGTTTCCCAGGAGTGAAAGGAGAGTATGGGCAGCCTGGTGCTCAAGGTCCTCAAGGTCCAAAAGGAGAAGCAGGTGTCCAGGGATTGCCAGGCATACCAGGATATCCTGGTGAAGATGGACAACCAGGTCAACGAGGATTGCCAGGACCAATAGGACCAAAAGGAGACCTGGGGCAGAAAGGCCCATCTGGTTTACCTGGACGACCGGGACTACCAGGATTGAAAGGGGAAATCGGGTTTCGTGGAGAGAAAGGTATCCAAGGCCCCACTGGAATACCAGGGATTGCTGGTCCAGGTGGTCCAATAGGGCCACCGGGTCTTCCTGGGCCGAAAGGAGAGAAAGGACTACCAGGACCACCAGGGCTACCTGGTATAGGGAAACCTGGAGTTCCAGGACACATTGGACCAACAGGAAAACCTGGACCAGAAGGTCTTCAAGGATTATCAGGCGCACCGGGCCCTCCTGGCCCTCCAGGACCTCCGGGCCCACCAGGCCAACCAACTGATATAAGACAGTTTCAACTTCCAGAGATGGGGCCAGGAATTGATGGCATTAAGGCACCACAAGGATACGCTCAACCAAGTAAAAAAGGGAAACCTATAGGAATTAGTCCAGAAATGCCTGCATTCACTGCTAAGCTATCAATGCCTTTCCCGCCAGCAGGATCTCCTGTCAAATTTGATAAAATCTTATACAATGGCAGACAAAGCTACAATCCACAAACTGGCATTTTTACATGTGAGATACCAGGAATTTATTATTTTTCATATCATGTTCATTGCAAGGGTGCTAATGTATGGGTAGCATTATATAAGAACAATGAACCACAAATGTATACATATGATGAATACAAGAAGGGGATTCTTGATCAAGCTTCTGGGAGCTCAGTTCTTGAACTAACGCACGGTGACAAAGTCTGGATGCAGCTTCCATCTGAACAGGCAGCAGGACTTTATTCAGGCCCTTATGTGCATTCATCTTTTTCTGGATATTTATTGTATCCAATGTAAAAATCAAATGTAAACAAGTAAAGCTTTTAAAACATGATCTTTGTTATCTTACAAAAGTTAAATTTTCACTACAAAAGCAATTGCTGACATTTGTAGGATGATTAACTGTCATTCTTTCTTTGATGGAAGGCCATTGCTGGGAGAACCCAAAGAATGAATAGACTTGTCTGTTTTACACATTCTAAATGCACATTAAAGTGTTGTGAAACACAGAATAATACACCAAGACGCAAGAGTGGACTCAAATCAATGAAATAAAAATGTACTTGTCCTGCCATGAGCCCAAAGTTTAAGTTTGCAGAGCTTCTCAAAATCAACTCAAATCTACACAAGAGAGCTGTTTTGAACAATTGCAGCTAATTTTCCAATTACAATCAGAGTTATCAAAATCACACTCAATATAAGAATAGAGTCTAAATAGCACATCAATGTAGGGGGTATTTAATTAAGTTTGGAGTTGAGGTAGGTTTTCGGTTTAGTGTAAATACTTCACATCTATATATGATATACTGAAATGGTATATCTTACCTGCTTTATACACTTACTGGGTGCAACAGAGAAAAAATGTTTCAGTTCTCAGGAGCAATACGGTCTCTTTATGAGAGCAAATTCACACAAAAAAAACTTCAAGAAAATGGCTGGATTGCAAAAGAGGGAAAAGGGATAAAAGACTATTTTCATCTACAAAGTATGATTAAACATGAACAAATTATTGTGGTATCTCCTTCATCTAGTAAACAGTAAGGAGGTAATAGCAGTACATCAAGGATTTAAAGCAGCCTACCATGTACTGAGCGGCAACGTCTTGTCATCCACCACCACAGTGAAAAAAAACACACTTGACGAGCAGAGATCTGAAAACTGATAAAATGAGATGAACAATGGGTTTCTTGTGAAACAAGAAGAAATTCATTTTCTTCTGAGAGGGAAGATGAAGGATTTTTGTGCAGGCCACTGTAGCCTTACGATTTCTGTCCATGAGCTCTTTTTAAAAAAGTATAATGCTAGTATTTATCCAATGTCTGTACTTGAGCACTTCCACACCACTTAGTTGAAGAGCCACAGATGTAGTCCGAGCAGAAAGTGGCAAGAAAACACTATTTTGGATGAGGCATTTCTTCAATAAATGCATGAATTAGCTTGTCAGTTGCAAAGAAATACACTAGGACATCCATAAATAGATACAACACTGTGGGCTTTTTAATTTAAACATTAATTACCAAATGATTATAATTTTGAATGTGCAAAACATGCTTGTGCCACCAATTCTATCTTATGTTAGAAAGAAAGTTTAATGCCATTTGTGCATTGCTTTATTTTTGTTTCTTAAATATATGTTTAAAGAGCTCATTAAGCTTTCCAAATATAGAAAAAAAAACATATTTTGTCCAAGATTACCTGAACCAGGTATAAAAGCTGAAGTAGATAACTACAGTTTGCTGATGAATTCTACCCGTTGTAACTATGAATAAAATTTCCAACTTTTCAACAATAATTTATTTGTTTTACTACTGATTGTCTAAAGTTGTATACGAGTAGAAAGGCTGCATCAAAATGTGAAAAGCTACAATCAACAGCCATACAAGATGCTAGAGTAATTTGTTCATTTGAAATAAAATTTCTGTTGTTCATGCCAACTTTTCATCAGCTTTTGATAAACTGAATCATTTGCAATATTTTCACAGCTTGAGAGATTTATCATGTTTCCTTCCATTTGACAGTTTGAATTGCAATTATTTTTTACTTTAATTCCAATTCAGTTTCCATGAAATACAAGGGAAATGTAAAACTTTAATGAGATGGAATTAAAGAAACTTTAGCCAATGGATGTCTCTGCTCTGGTTTTCCAATCTTACTTTTCAATACCTTCTTGTTAGCTCACAATATATGATAAATAGCCCCAAAACGGTATGTCTACTTGGTTTTAATTGACACTGTATCAGTATGTCAGTTTTGGTTGTTTCTACATATAGGAACAATCTCAGTTGATTTGCTTTTGTCAGGCTTTATTTTGCAGGAAACTATTTTGGTGTGTCACGATGTAACATCTTTATAGTGTTAGCTACTTTGGAATTTTTATTTTTATAATGATCATTTTCATGGCAGTTTTCTTAAAAGGAGATTTAGTGACATCGTGTGTTGGTGTTATAACTTATCATATCATATGGTTATGGGTATGGGTTTTAAGTTTACACCATTATTTCCTCAATCCTGCATCATTCCAAACTCAGCTATGCCAGATAGGGGGAGGCAATAACTGGAGAATGAAGAAATATTAATCATCAACTTTCCATAGCAAAAGGCATAATTAGAATCTATGAACAAGCCATCTATCCACGTTCCCATACAGAAGCTATGTTGAGGGAGCTGACCAGGAGAAAACGTAGGCATTTGAATAATAGAGTACAGTTAACAAAATTTCAACGTTAAGCATAAAATAACTCAACTTCAAAATCTTGCCAAAGTGTATAGAATATATATTCTATAAGCAGCCTTTTAGACATGGTGTTTTCACTTTTGATTATATTCAGTATCTTACTGAATTCAAAGTAATTTCTTCCCCCTCTGTGGACTAATGCTAAGTCTGTATTATCAAAAAATTTTTGTACTGAATTGGAAATTATTGTATTAAATATTTAAACACATTTTCAGATTCGTTTTGAGAAGAATCTTTTGTTTTGTGAAATAATGATTTATATTTTCCTTTGTGATGTTGAAGTTTTTTGGGGATTATGTTAAATGAATGTGTACTTTTGCAGCAAGCAGTACTTCATACTTAATGAAATACCTCCACAATCCTTCATTTTTTGTTTCCATTCAAAATAAATCAATAGGATCTCAATTATCATGATTGCTGATTGACTGGGATTTGCCAAAAACAGCAGGAGATATTGCTCTCCCCTACTCTACTCAGCTCAGTACAATCATATTCACTGTTTACTCTTTTAAAAATTACCTTAAAGCAAATAAAATTCACAAGTGCTTAGGCCAGAGAACAATGTGGGGAACAACCAAAGAATAAAGAACGTACATGTACACTGAAGATTGTAGTGCAGTGGTAGCAGCCCCACACCTGCACTAGTAGACCCAGGTTTAAGTCCCCATCTCTGAACAGGTTGATTAGAAAAATAGGTTAAATTTTAAAATATATGGTTTAATTTAATTGACCGTTCACTGACAGAGATAAGAACACAAGAACTAAGAGTAAGAGTAGGCATTTCAGTCCCTCGAGCCTGGTTTGCCATTTGATATAATCATGGCTGATCTTCTCTTGGACACAACTCCACTTTCATGCTTTCCACAACCCTTCAACCCAATACTAAATAAAACTCTTGACTATTTCCTCAATGTCCCAGCATCTACTGCACTTTGGGTTGTGAATTCCACAGATTCATGATCCTTCGAAAAAAGTAATTTCTCCTCGTTCTGTTTTAAATCAGCTAACCCGTATCTTAAAACTATTACCTTTCATTTTGGATTGCCCCATGAGGAAGCTATCTATCTATGTCTGCATTGTCAATCCCCTTAGCATCTTGTATATCTCAATTAGACTTCCTCTCATTCTTCTGAACTTGAGACAATAGGCCGACACTGCTCAATCGCTCTTAAGACAAACCTCTCATCTCTGGACTCAATCTATGAACATTCTCTGAACTTCCTCCAATACAGCTACATCCTTCCTGAAGTAAAGGGACCAAAATCCAGGTTCGGATAGCAGAATCAAATGGCAGGAGCAAAAATCTGACCTCATACTAATATACAAAGCCTGCTGTCCTGAGTAGAAGCCATAGAGTAACAGCAACATGTACTGAAATGGCACCTTAAAAGACATGCCGTCAGCACTAATCTTAACCCTCAATCCTTTAATCCCCACCCCAGATCAGGAGTTTTTTATTTTTAAAGCTCAGCCAAGCATTCACAATAAGGTCAACTGCAGTAAGTCTATAACCAATGGATTCCATTAAAACAGAAAAACTTGGTGGCCTCTTTTTATCTAAGCTACACCCAATGTCTTATCAAAGTGTTCCAGGTCCTGCTCCTCTGATGCTGCTTGGCCTGCTGTGTTCATCCAGCTCTACACCTTGTTCCAGGATCAGATTTTGTTTTTGTTTAAGTAAAAGATTCAGAAAACCTTTCTCTAAGTTAAGTGGCTCCTAGTTTTTAAATCATGACCTATCATTACATTAGAAATCACAAACAGCATTTTCATCAGTTCTAAATGCAAGGAGGCATTCATCACTGAGAACTCTACTGCATCTCAACACTTAAATAATGCTGACCAAAGAAATTTTCAGGACAAAGTCCTAGAACTGAATCACTGCAGTGAAAACATATCTAACTTACAATATGGTATCTAAGGAATGAATTTTTTTTAAAAAAGTATTGAACAACAATCACAAAAAAGCCGTTTAATGAAGGAATTGCAGGAGCAGGTTCTCCCCTCAGGGCTGATAATTCCTCTTTAGGACAGATCACAACTTCTAAAGGTGCCAAGAACAAAGTCTCCATCAAATGCCAACAGGCACCAAAAAGTTCCCAGATAGTGCAAATGGGGTCACAATCCTGGAACAGGGACCCACCTGCTATCACAGAATGGAAACTGGCCCTTTGGCCCAACAAGTCCACACAGATACATCCTCCTATAATCCACTTAACCTACACATCCCTAGACACTATGGGCAATTTAGCATGGCCAATCCACCTAGCCTGCACATCTTTGAACTGTGGGAGGAAACCAGAGCATGCTACTTTTAAGTACCTCACCCCTCTGTTCCAACATGGGCATAGCCATGAAAATGAGAGTCTTCATTTTGAGTACTGTCCAAATGAACAAAGTTGAAGGTGATTATCTCAAATCAATTCCTAGAGACAGTTCCATGATTTGATACATTCTCAATTAGATTAAAATAGAAAATTGATGTGCTCATATTAGTGTATCAGTAAACACTATTATTATGAGATCATTCATGACATTTTTATTCAGTGTTGGCATGAATCTACAAACTGCATGAATAGCAATGCTAAAAATAATTTAACAGTTACAGAATGTTAATTCTCAATTAGGCGCTGGGAAACTCCAGACTCAAATACACAAAGAAATGAGAATAAAATATTTTGAGTGTTATTTTCACAATATATTTAGGTAGAGAGTTGGATAGTGAAAACAATAAGTAGCTTTTTGTTTTCTTTATTCATTCATGGGATGAGCGTGTTGCTGGCTAGGCAGCATTTATTGCCCAGAGGGCAGTTAAGAGTCACGCACATTGATATGGGTCTGGAGTCACATGTAGACCAGACCAGGTAAGGATGGCAGTTTCCTTCCCTAAAGGACATTAGTGAACCAGATGGGTTTTTCCTGACAATTGACAATGGATTCACAGTCATCATTAGACTGTTAATTCCAGGTATTTACTGAATTCAAATTCCACCATCTGCTGTGGCAGGATTCAAACCCAGGTCCCCAGAATGTTAGATAACAAGGCGTAGAGCTGGATGAACACAGCAGGCCAAGCAACATCATAGGAGCAGGAAGGCTGACGTTTCAGGCCTAGACCGCCCGAAAAGTCAGCCTTCCTGCTCCTATGATGCTGCTTGGCCTGCTGGGTTCATCCAGCTTTACACCTTGTTATCTCAGATTCTCCAGCATCTGCAGCTCCTACTATCCCCAGAATGTTATCTGAGTCTCCAGATTAACAGTCCAGCGATAATACCACTAGGCCATCGCCTCCCCTTATCCCCTCAGCTAACATCTGAAAGGAAGTGGACAATTAAAGGGAATTGGCAAGAGGCAAGTACCACAAACTGTAAAGAGCATTGCATCTTAAATTACACAT